TCCAAGAGAGGCAGAACTCCGATCACTTATGCTCCAGGAGCCTATCAAAACGGCGCAAGCGTGCTGAGAGCCTTTGGCGGGGCCCGGAAGTAACGGAGAGAGAGGGGGTGAGCCTCCTGAGAGTCTGGTCCCAACATAGAGCAGCTTTGATAACCGACCGAGCGCACCAGATGTAGATGGGGTCCGAGTAAGTGTTTTCCCTACTAACTCTTTTAACTCTACAGTTAGAAAGAGAGGCCTTTTGAGAGGGATGATAGCAGAATCTGTTTTTTTTGTTTTTTTTTTTTCTTATAAAGAAATGCTGTCCGGAAACGTTAGTGTGGGCATTTTTGGTTTGTATTTATTTGTTTTATCCGAGCCTGGAATAACTCACCATAGTTGCATCGGAGATCTACCCCTCTAGCATTACAGGAATAACCTGCCCTATTCTTAAGATCTCTGATTGAGATCCCTAGCTATGGTTCTGAAAATCAGAGGGTGGGGTCCGTGAGAAATAAACGGGGTGTGTGCCAATTCCATAAGTAATGATGGATTTACTGATGGACCTGAGCTAGTATAAGGTGTCCGGTTTTTCCACACTTACCCTTTTTTCCGCACTTAACCTATCTCTGCCCACACTTAAGGTGAGAGAAATTTTTACATACTGCCCAAGATGTTCGTCAGCCAAATGTTAAGTATATGTTGAACAGATAATTGATGTGATGCTAAGACAGTAACTTACTTCTGATTTTCGACTGCCCACTGTCCAGTGATGAAAATAGGCATTTCTCAGATGACCAGTGATGTTGAGCATTTTTTCATATATTTGTTTAACAGCAAGTAAAGACATGAAAAAATGCTCAACATCACTGGTCATTTGAGAAATACAAATTAAAACGACCCTGAGATTCCATGGACGAGGGGAATGGCTACCATCAAGAAAGCAAACGATTAAAAAAAAAAGAAAAGAAATCAACCAATAATAAGTACTGGCAAGGCTGTGGGGAAAAAGGAACCGTTTTCCTTTGCTGGTGGCAGTGTAAACTGGTATAATGACTGTGGAAATCAGTATGGAGATTCCTCAAAAAACTAAAACTAGAGGTTCCATTTGACTCAGCTGTTTCCCTTTCAGGTATCTCCAAAAGAGTTAAAAGCGTCATACAACAGTGATATATGCATGCCCATGTTTATAACAACACAATTTGTAATAGTTGAATCTTGCATCAATAGATAAAGGGACAAATAAAATGTATTTGTGTACAATGGATTACTCCTGTGCCATAAAGAAGGATAAACTTGAGTCATTTGTAGGAAAATGGATGCACTTCAAGAGCATAATCTTAAGTAAAATGAATCGGGCAAACAAGTTTAAATATTGTATTGTTTCTCTTATATGAGAAACCCAAAGGGTAAATAAGAAACATAATGGAGGATAGAAATTGGGAAGTAGAAAAAACATATTCAAATGGGAAGAGGAACAAGAAAGGAGGGAGAGAGAAGGAAGGAAAAGAATGGAAATAGAAAAATGGAAACAAAGCTTTTGTAAATGGGGAGGGGAAGAAGGATTGAAGGGAGGAAAATGGGAAAAATAGAGAATTCAGATATATTATGTACAGGTACAAATTCCCTGTGATGAATGTGATCGATATGTATGACAGATATGTACTAATAAAAAATAAAGCTCAATAAAAATTTTAAAAAATATGTACAGAGGTTTCATGCTGAGTAAAAAAAGAAAATAGGTACTTTTAGTTTTTATTTGTATTGTACATGTTTTCAGTGCATAATGATTACATTCATTGTGGGAAGCTGGTACAGGCAAATACCATATTTAAATTCTTTTTTATATCCCCTTCCCTGCCATAGGCTTTCTTAATGGGTCATTGACCATCAAAGCGATACCATTCACTTTGAGTATGACCATGAGGCATATATATTTCTCTCACCGATTTCCTACTAGGCAGGTGGAGCTGTTTGTGCAGCCTCAACTATGGTATACTGAAGATTGCCTCAGGAAAGACTGGACTGAGGCCATAGGGATAGCCTCAAAGAGTCTAGAATGGGACTGTAGTGTTCTCAAGGAACCTGGATAAGGTCTGATGTGGTCTGTTGGATTCACATTAATTCAAATGCCATATACTGTATATTCTCCAGCATCCCCAAGGGATTAAGGAAAACACTGTATAATCAAACGTGTTCATAGATCAACTTGTCTACTTCCTTCAAAAACCGTAACTTAGCCTGTTATGATGGTGCACACTTGTAATCCCAGCTCTTGGCAGAGTGAAGCAGGAGATTCATGAATTTGAGACCAGCCTGGGCTACATAGCAAGACCCTGCCTCAAAACCAAAACAAAACAAAACAAAAACCCCTTGGTTTTAGAGCTTTTTGGATTTCAAAAGTAGCGCAATAGGGATTTATGGATTTTTGTGAGAATATAACTGTTATCAAAAGCTAGTAGTTGTGAGGTTAGGTTTTATATGTTTTAAGAATGTTAAAAGAATAGATTTTTTTAACATCTTTACAAAAAATGGTAAGTTGTGAGGTGATAGTATGTTAATTAGCTTGAGCATATCTTTCTATAATGAATACATAGATTAACACATCATATCATGCCCTTAAAATGTATGCAATGATGATTTGTCTCTCAAAATAAGTTAATAAAAACATGTTAATTAATTTCCTACCTTAAAAAAATGTGTCTCAGAGAAGGGCATGGTGGTGCATACCTGTGATCCCATCCAGCATTTGGAAGGCTGAGGCAGGTGGATCACTGCTGAGGGTTTGAGGCTAGCCTGGTCTACATAGCAAGATTCTGTATGAAAAAAAAAAAAAGCATCACAGAGTGATTTTCTTTTTTGGGGAGAGTACCAGGGTTTGAACTTGGGTCCTTGAGCTTGCGAGACAGGCGGTGGAACCACTTAGCTAAATCCCCAGACCACAGAGTGATTTTCTTGCTCACTAGGGAAGAGAGACTTTTTTTATGAATTGTTGAAAATATAGATATATTTTATATTTGTGTGATACAATATTACCTGAAAATATATAACTACCTGAATTTATTTTCTTTGGGATTATTTAATGATGCATTTATATTTTCCTTAAAAGTTGTTTTGTTTTTGGTAGTACTAGCAATGAACCCAGGGCCTTTGCACTGAGCTGTATCCCCAGCCCTTTTTTATTTTTTATTTTGAGATAAGGTCTTGATAAGTCAATAAGTTGCCCAGGCTTGAATTTATGATCTTCCTACATCAGCCTCCTAGAGTTTGGGGATTACAGGTGCAAAAGTAGTTTTCTGAGCTGAACATAGTGGTATATGCCTGTAATTACTGCTATTTGTGAGGCTGAGACAGGACGATCTAGAGTTCAAGGCCATCCTGGACAACATAAGGACATTCTATCCTAAGAAAAATAAAAGGTTGAAGGGAGGGCAGGGGTATGGGGAAAAAATAAGAACCAAGATGGATTTTGTGAAGATGAGAATTTCCGATGATGAATGTCATTATATTGTATACCTTAAATGTTCCGATAAAATTAATAAAAAAGCAAAAGAAAAGGGAACCTAAAAGATATATTAAAATTAGTTTTGTGTATAGATATTAACCCCTTTGCATGTTAAGCCAAAAAACTGTTTTTTAAAAGTGCCATATACAGAAACTACTCTTTCAGTTCCATGAATATGTACTACTGTATTTGATGTCATGCACTATTATAGGTGCTGAGGACAATTCAAAGGTGAAAAAGACAACTTAGTTCCTGTCTTCCAAGAGCTCACTGTCTAGCAGTGGAAGAAATATGTATATAGAATCCTACTTTGAAGCTTTGTTTCAATATACATTACCACTTCTCTTGGACCTTTTAAGGTAAATTAAGTATCATAAAAAGTGAAAATGAGGCAGACACAGTGGAGTATGCCTGTAATCTCACCTACTCAGGAGGCAGGAGGACCACTAGTTTGAGTCCAGCTTTTTCAGAGCTGGCTGAATCTGGAGAGTGTTATTGATTCTTGGTGGGGCTAGGCCTGAAGACACTAGGATTAAGGGCATGAGTGCTAGTAGTCTGAATAAGATAAAGGAGACAGAAAGATGCTGTTAAGGTCCCTTGTTGCTTTTGCTACCTTGTGCTCATGTTGTTTCTCATCTGTGATGCCTTTCTGCCACCCACCTTGCCTTGGAGTCAGTCAGTTATGGACTGAACTGTGAGCTAAATAAACCTTTTCCCCTTTAACTTTGGGTGTCAGGTATTTTATCTCAGCAACGAGAAAAATAACTAAGACACCCTGTCTCAAAATAAGATAATAAGAATGACTGGAATATAGCTCAGTATGAGGCCTTGGGTTATTCACACTACTACAAAACAGCAAGTAAACAAATAAAACGCCAAAGTGGAATAGAAACGATAAGCTAATAACATCTTTAAAGTTATTGGAATTGTATAATCTATTTTATCAGTTACATGAAAAAATTAATTGCCAGTAATACCGAAGCATATATGCTTACTGTTCCTCATCATTTTTAGAGATATCAAAAGGTGTTTATTTTGCCTGGAACATCTGTTCTTGAGTTGTAAAGCATCAGGTTTTACATGAAGTCCAGGCAGTGGTTTTGAAGTTTTTCTTCATATTAGAAATGAAGCCCTTTATTTAAACCTAGTTTTGTGTAAAAGCTCACATATCATAAAAATAAAGAGTCTCTATGTGAAGTGGTGGTACTAGAGTTCAGATCCCTGGCAAGCTTGGTCTTCCCTAAGTGTCCAGTGGCAGCCTAAGTTTCTATAAAACAAATGACAACAGAAAAGGAGAACTATTGCTGTAGAGCAGAAGACAGCAAATTATGGCCCATGCTGTTTTTGTAAATAATATGTTATTGGAACACAACCAGGCCTATTTGTTAGTATGCTGTATATAGACTGTTTTCACAGCAAAGTTGAGTTGCTGGAATAGACTATATGGCCTGCAAAGCATAAAATATTTACTATCAGGCTCGTTACGGAACATTTTTGCTAATCCTTGGTCCATGAGATACTTTCTAGGGTGTCCCAGAACTGAAAATTTCCTCAAATTAGATGGTTATTTCAATTAATTTCTCAACAGGATTATATGATTCTACAAAATCGTTTATATAGACAAAAATAATGTTAAAACCTTTCCTCACTTGTCTCATGCCCAATGACTATAAAAACTATACAAGTCTAAGGCTAAGGTGGGTTTAAGGAAAAATTTTATGTGTGGCCAATTTTCTTATCTATGTAGCAAAAACTATTCTGCAGAGGTAGTTACAGATAATATACAGAACAACTTGTCTGCGGGTGATTGTTCTCTGATCTTGGCAAGAACAGTACAAACTGTCTGTATCTTTGGGGCTAGTTTTTTCCAAACCCTAGGGCTATCACTCAGAACATCAGTCATCTAAGTACATATATTACATGTAGCCATTTGTTACAAACAAGAGCAAAAGTGATAATTCAAAAAAAGAAATTTATGTTCAGGGTTAGATGATTTAAGACAAAATACCGTGAAAAGATTTAATGTTAGAATTTCTGCAAGTGTTTGTGTGGATATTGAAGGATCAGAAACTGTGAAAAAAATTATTCTGAAACTGTCAAATTTGTCAGGGCCAAAATTACCTGTGAAATCATTAACCCTCAATTATCTGTTTCAAAGGTCAGATCTGAGCTTGGTGGTGCATGTCTGTAATCCCAGAACTGAGGAGGTTGAGGCAGGAGAATGAATTTTTGAGGCCAGTCTATACTACATACTGAGACACTGTTTCAACCTTCCCCAAATCAAAGGTCAGTTGTGTTATAGATTATATTAGTAAATACTGTACTGTACTCAAAAACTGTGTCTTTTTGGTTTTGGAATCTTTATCTTTTTCAACCAGTCTACTTTCCAAATGATGGTCAGTAATGTGAATATTAAAATGAGTTTTTAATTCCTGAGCACACAAGACCTGAAAAGTAGACAGTATAGAAATGTATTAAGAGATACAGAGAAGCCAGCCTGTCATTTAAAATATGTTATTATTGAATCATGGAATATATGTAGTCATGTACTGTTGTCCAAGACTCTGGAAGAAAGCTAACTGGATTTATCTTAAGAAGAAAGGGATCTGTTGCATAATCAAATACAGACTTCTTTTACATTTGGTCCATTGTGATTATTAGAGAATAATTTGAGCATAAAGTCTGATTATGCACAATTTCATCAGCCAGAACCACTAGATGAAAGCAGAAAACTACACTCAACTGAATCAAACCATATAGCAGTATACAAAATGCAAACATACATACCTCATATATTTATCGGCTATCTCAGTTCATTGTGCATTTTAAGTCCCACCTGTCCAAAAGAAGAATTATTTACAACTTTCAGTCTGATTTAAGATAACCCTCTTTATACCACTTCATAATAACTCACAAACTGCAACCCTTCTTATATCCACTTCCATAAGTAAACTTTAGGTCTTTTCCAAAATAAAAGTGTCACATTAATTATATTACTTATTTATTTTCTAACCATTTAGCATGTGTGAAACTGTGCTACCACTTTAGTAGGTTGATATCTTTTTGTGTTTAGTGTATTTCACTGATGAAGATTTTTCCCCATAAGCCTTGTGATTTTTATTGAAAAATTTTTCACAGTGGAATAATTTTGGGGCAAAATACGTGTCACCTTATAGTGAAGCCAAATGTAGTACAGGTGAAGTAGCTTTAGGCATGGCTGAATTCAGGGGCCAAGACATATCAACACTCTGTTTCTGTTTGTCTCTCCTTTTAAATCTCTATGTGCTTTGGCTAAACTTTTCCTATTGTAGACAGCTTTCTTCTTTGATTTAGTATGATGCCTGCAAGCAACTTCAGCTTATGATGTCTAATTTAGCTCACAGTTTGTAGAGCTTTTAGTCCATGGTTGGCTGAATTTAAGGCAGAGGAGAAACAAACAGTCTGTGGCATGGCAGGCAGGAAGCATGGCAGGATGAAGGGAGGAGAAGGAATAAATACTGTTCTAGGCCACACTCACAGTGACACACCTCGTGCCACCGGGCTTCACCTCCCAATATCACACCCAACTCTAAACCTATCAGTAAATTACTCCAGATCACACACCCAAGATCAAGTATCCCACACCTATGATCCAGGCACTTCCTAAATCCTGCCTATGGGCACATGAGGCTTTAGGGAGGATACAAGCCACAACAATGCCTTAACTCTCAGTCCTGAAGGAAGCAAGAGTTTCTCCCAGTGTTTTTCATATATTAAAACTCAGGTAAGATGTTGATTGGTCTTAAGAAGCCTATTTAACTAGGGACTTAAAGAACTCTCATTTGTCATGCCTGAGTCAGTTAATTCCCTACCACACAACAATCAGGGAGGGATTGTCGTAATTATCTTCTTCACTTAGACTGCATGGGATATTCATTGAATATTTTTTCCAAATAAAGGATGCAAACGGGAACAATATACTTACTATAAGTTATTAAGAGGAAAGATTAGCCAGGGATTTAGCTCAGTGGTTCCGCTGCCTGCCTTACAAGCGCGAGGACCCAAGTTCCATCCCTGGTACCAAAAAAAAAAAAAAAAAAAAAAAAAAAGGAAAGTTC